AAATAGGTGTTGATGAACCTCTTTGCTGTGCTCCTCATCCCGGAGTCATAAAAACTGGTCGTCTGCGCTCGGATGTACCCGTGCTCCCGAAGCGTAGCAGCAAACTCGGCAGCTGAGGCTGACGAGGTCCCTTCCAAGCGAAGAGTTGAAGTCGCAGGCGTTGACACCTCCTCCACCTCCACCACGGCCCCTTGTTGCTCCAACCTCCTCCTTTTCGCCACAATGGGCCCCTCCTCAGCAACCGTCACTTCTCCTCCAGCGTGGCCAGGTTGAGTGATGGCTAAGTTCTCCACTTCGCCTTGAGGCAGTGAAACCTCCTTCGCCCGCTTCCTGGCCTCGCCTCTCTTCCCTCTTCCCTTCTTTGGGATCCCAGCTCCACCAGCTACGTCCAAAAACTTGTTCATCTCTTCTGCAAAACAAAGCAAGGTTAAACTCTGATCAGAATTCTTAAATTAAATCAACAATTAAAGGTCACACACCTCCCAGTTGCGAGCTCGGCCTATATATCTCAACCGCATCTAACATCCTCTGGCTCGTGTACTCCATAATGTCCAGCAAACCCACACCCTCTCTTTCCAACTCCCCCACATCCTCTAACTCCCCCGAGGTCAGACTATACTCATTAAGGTTTAACCCTTTCGTCTTCCAACGACTCAAGTGTTCCACCTCAGCATCAGTTTTATCCCACTCCGTATCATCCGCAAAAAAGAATTTATCTTTCCATCCTTTGATGGAAGATGGCCCGGCGCTAAATAAACCCCTCCTCTGCCTACCCACCACCCGGCCCGTAAAGTAAAACCACCCCTTTTCCCTACCACTCCCAGCATTCAAGACGTAAAAGTACTTGAATACGTTAGCGGTAGGAAAACTTACCCCCCGACTTCGGCTATACACCGCAAACGCCACCACCAACCTTACGGCGTTCGGGGTGAGTTGCGTCAATCCTAGACCATACTCTAACAGCAACCACACCAATAGGTCTGGGAGAGGAAATCACAACCCAGCCGCCAGGTAATGAGAGTAGAGAGGCATCCAGTGGTCCCTTGGGGCCGAACATGCCCTCTCCCTACTCCTCGCCGGCCTCACCAACACACGCCCAGGCACTCCATAGTTCTCAACCAAATGGGCCAAACTACCCCTATTCTCCAAACTTGTTTCATACCCTGCCACCTCACCAACAACTTCCTCCTCAGGGTTGAAACACGGCTCTCTTCCATCCTCTCTTTCCAAAATGTTCGATGGCACCCCTAAATCTCTACTCTCTTCCCCCTCAACCCTTCCCTTCACTCTGCCGCCACTAAGCGTCTCTTCAGAAGACATTCTCACAACAAAGAAAGGTAGAAAAAGACACTCGAATTCTCGCAAATTACCTGGTCTCTGCGAAAACGGAAGGACAGCGATTGAGTGCAGGTACACCGGTGACTTTTCCAAAAGCTAAACAGCAAAATGGGTTGAATTTTCCTAACTCAACATATATATACATGACGGCAAAACGTACTTTGACGGTCACGGTTGCCTTTCTTAAACCGTCACGACTGTGCCTTTTCACATTCGCCGTTTAACTTAACGCCGCGTCCCTTCGAATGTGACGGTTACTTTTCGCAGGCAATATTTATTACTGCACGTTTTTCCATGAATAGCTGTCGTCACTGCATTAACCAGACTCACTATTCCATAAATAGGCCCATTTTAGGCCCATTGTAAACCCCCAACATATACTTTACACGAAAACTGTCAAGTCACCTATTTCATCTTGGCTACGGCCACAGTGACCACGCGTCACCTATGACCACGCGTCACCTATTTCATCTCGGCTACGGCCACAGTGACCACGCGTCACCTATGACCAC